CCCTGCTGGTCTAGCCTGGGACCGCAAGGCACCCAGTTACCGTGTGTTGCCACGAGGAGGCACAGCAGGAGTCTTGATGGTGAAGAGGCTATGTACTGGCAGGGGAAGACTTATGCAAGTTGCTTCCCTGTTCGCCACGGGGGCTAGCCAGCGGCGGTAGCTGAAAGCGAGAGGGAGCAAGCAATGCCTGCACCTTAACACTAACATAATGCTGCCACACTAGACGCATTACACCACCCTGTGGAGAGACCCACACACACACACAGAGCAGCTGAGGAACTTAAGTAGGAGGACACGAGAGAGCTTTTACGGGGTCATCTTAGTATAGAGAAGGTCTAGTAGACTAGAGACAGTGTCTCTCTCTCTCTCTCAGCTTCCCAGTATCGCTCCATCTCAACTGGGTCTTCGATCGCTTTCTTTCGAACTAAAGTCCTCAACTTCTTCTAGCTACTCCAGCGGCCCTCAGCCACCCCCCCCCCCACCCACCCCTCGTGACAATCTACGGTTTTTCCCCTCTTCACCTTCTCCATTAACCGATCCAAGCCTAACCTAACCTATACTAAGCTAACCTATAATAACATAACCCAATCTATCTTAAGTTAACCTACCGCAAGCACACCAAACCTTATCTAACTTGACCTAACCTCACTTAACCTAACTTATCCCAAAAAACCTAACTCACCCTACCTTAACCCAACCTAACCGATACCCACTCTTCCCCTCATAGGGTACCTCTCTCTCTCTCTCTCCTCAACAAAATCAAATAGCCTTTCACCCCTACCCCCCATAGCCCCCAGCCCTCTCTACACAGACCCCCTCAACCTCCTTCACCAGCGGTTGCTATCGAGGAGCGACACTCGAGGCCCATCTTCCGTCCTCGAGGCCCACCTTCCGTCCACCTGAGTGAGACTTGAGTACTCGAGGACGTGATTAACCAGTGTCAACCTTTTGTGTGCTGAGTAATAATGTCCTCCTCAGCCACGTCCCTCTAACACGTCCTTGGTGATGCTGCTACTACTGCTGGTGCTACTAGTGATGCTACTGCTGGTGCTGCTAGTGATGCTACTGCTGGTGCTGCTAGTGATGCTACTGCTGGTGCTGCTAGTGATGCTACTGCTGGTGCTGCTAGTGATGCTACTGCTGGTGCTGCTAGTGATGCTACTGCTGGTGCTGTAGTGATGCTACTGCTGAATTGCTGCTAGTGATGCTACTAGTGATGCTACTGCACTGGTGCTGATGATGCTACTGCTGCTGTTAACGCTATTGATGCCTGTGGTGCTGCTGATGATGCTACTGCTGGTGCTTGCTGGTGATGCTACTGCTGGTGCTGTGGTGATGCTGCTGCTGGTGCTGCTGGTGATGCTGCTGCTGGTTGCTGCTGGTGATGCTACTGCTGGTGCTGCTGGTGATGCTACTGCCGGTGCTACCTAGTGATGCTACTGCTGGTGCTACTGGTGATGCTGCTGCTGGCGCTACTGGTGATGCTGCTGCTGGTGCTGCTGGTGATGCTGCTGCTGGTGCTGCTGGTGATGCGCCACTGGTGCTGCTGGTGATGCTACTGCTGGTGCTACTGGTAGTGCTACTGCTGGTGCTGCTAGTGATGCTACTGCTGGTGCTGCTAGTGATGCTACTGCTGGTGCTGCTAGTGATGCTACTGCTGTTGCTACTAGTGATGCTACTGCTGGTGCTGCTAGTGATGCTACTGCTGGTGCTACTAATGATGCTACTGCTGGTGCTACTAGTGATGCTACTGCTGGTGCTGCTAGTGATGCTACTGCTGCTACTGCTAGTGATGTTACTACTATTATCACTACTATTATTAACATAACTACTAATTTTATTACTAGTACTGCTATAAGGCTTCGTTAAGTTTATTTAGGTTAGGTTAGGTTAGGTGCGGCTTAGTTAGGTTATGTTAGGTTAGATTAGGCTATGTTACGTTTGGTAAGATTAGGTTAATTTAGGTTAAGTTAGATTCAGTTAGTTACGGTTAGTTTAAATGACGTTTGATAAGTATAGGTTAGGTTAGGTTAGGTAATGTACACAATCTTGGTCAACTCAAAAGACAAGAGTAAAGGGATAGAAAGATACAGTGTGTATAATTAATATAATTGAGGAGTCACCTTACAACTACAGCTTAACTATAATCAACAACATGTATTATAGAACCAGGTCTTATATAATACAAGTGCCATAAACATTGTAACAGTCGTTCACATGAGCGTATGGGCGCCGGCCTGTGTGGGTGGTCCTGCTTATTACATCACTATCATCCTAAGACACATCTTCACTATCACCGTCAATATCATTCTAACATACATCTTCACTATCATCCTAACATACATCTTCACTATCCTAATACACATCCTCACTATCATCCTAACACATCTTCACTAACCTAATACACATCCTCACTATCATTCTAACACACATCTTCACTTTCATCCTAACACATCTTCACTATCCTAATACACATCCTCACTATCATCCTAACATACATCTTCACTACCCTAATACACATCCTCACTATCATTCTAACACACATCTTCACTATCATCCTAACACATCTTCACTACCCTAATACACATCCTCACTATCATCCTAACATACATCTTCACTATCATCCTAAGAAACGTCTTCACTTTCACCCTCACTATACATCGATACTATCACTCTCACTGTCATCCTCAGACATATCTTCACTATCACCCTCACTATCCTTCTAACACATCTTCACTATCATCCTAACACATCTTCACTATCATCCTAACACATATCTTCACTATCATCTTAATACACATCTTCATTATCAACCTAATAACAATATTCACTCTCACCTGTACTATTCATCCTAACATCTTCACTATTATCCTCACTATTCATCCTAACAGCTTCACTATTACCTTAACAAATCTTCACTATCAGCCTAACATCTTCACAGCCCTCACTGCCCAGAACAGACACACGCCTAGTCCTATAATATATTACATACAGTTATATATATATATATATATATATATATATATATATATATATATATATATATATATATATATATATATATATATATATATATGACTGAGGGGGTTGGTAAGTCAATGGATACACCTGCAAGGAATTATATATCAACCCATAAATTATATAGAAATAATCAACTATTTACCATATATAATTCTAAAGAATATAATAATTAAGAAGAAAACATTATATATCAACTCCCAAATTATATAAATACGGTCAGGTTTCATGATATATTTATTGAATTCTTTGGACTGTTGCCTCAGCTGGGGCTCAAGAGGCTTGATTTTCCGCTGAAGACACCTGAGCTCTGGCTAATAGGTAGGACGACGTCATTACTGCAATTAACAAGCAGGTGAAGGAACAGGTGAACGGAGGAGACAGGTGAGGGGTGGGGATAGAGCAAGGGAGGAGACAGCTTCGAGGGTGGAGACAGGTGAGGGAGACGGGTGAGGGTGGAGACAGGTGAGGTCGGAGACAGGTGAGGGAATGGTGGACAGGTGAGGGTGGAGACAGGTGAGAACAGGTGAGGTGGAGACAGGTGAGGTGGGGGACAGGTGAGGTGGGGACAGTGAGGTGAAGACAGATGAGGAAAGGACAGATGAGGAGGACAGGTGAGGGCTAGAGACAGGTGAGAGAGACAGGTGAGGGCTGAAGACAGGTGAGGGAAGGAGACAGGTGAGGAGAGGAGACAGGTGAGGGCTGGAGACAGGTGAGGGAAGGTGACAGGTGAGGAGAAAGGTAAGGCGACAGATGAGAGGACAGGTGAAGATAAAGGTAAGAGAACAGGTGTGAAGGGATATGTGAGGGACAGTTGAGGAGATAAGTGAGAAAACAAATAAGGAACCAGGAGAGGGGGAGAGAGGTGAGTGAGACGTCCTCAGGTGTCGACCCAGCAGAGAAGATAAAGAACCAAGAAGTTATAACATACTCATACATCAAGACAAACTCGATAAACACACACCAATACTTCTCTAACCAGTATGATACTTTTACCCAACTTCCCGGCAGCCTAAGTGTAGCTGTTACTGCCTGACGTATGATAAACTACCAGAGTGACTGTAAACAATTTTGTGGATTACTAGAAAATTATTATATAAAGAATTTTAATACACATTGATAGAGGCACTATATGGTGATATACAGGATCATACTGTATATGTATGTATGTATGTATGTATATCACAACACTATAATAACAGAAGTAAATCACTACTCAATAATAACATGATAGGTTAGGTTAGTTCTCCCCAACAAGTGTTAAATATGTAGTTAGTTAGTAGACAAAATACTCGATTATAACTAAACTATTGTATCATGTGTGTGTGTTATATCGCTGTAAATCACTCTCCCCCTTCACTATATAATCCTTATTAGCCATTAAGCCAAGTGGGTCTTAGGGATGAGTGAAGTATCATAGGTGCTGGCGGATCAGACGTGGCTTTGTGAGCTAATGAGTGTCCTAGGTGGTTTAGTTGTTGTAGGTGACCTGGGTGCTGCTGTAGGTGGCCTGGGTGCTGCTGTAGGTGGCCTGGGTGATGTAGGTGGCCTGGATGCTGTTATGAGTGTGGATGTGCTGTTGTGGGTGGCCTGGATGCTGACTTTTGCAGGTGGCCTGGGTGCTGCTGTGGGTGGCCCTGGGTGATGTGGGTGGCCTGGATATATGCTGTTGTGGAGGTGACCTGGATGCTGTTGTGGGTGGCCTGGTGCAGTTACTGGTGGCCTGGAGGTGCTGGCCTTGGAGTGACACTGGGTGTTGTGGGTGCCTGGGGCTGCTGTGGGTGGCCTGAGGCTGTTGTGGAGGTGGCCTGGTGCTGCTGTGGGTGGCCTGAGAGCTGTTGCTTGCAGTGGCCTAAAGGTGCTGCTGTGGTGGCTTGGATTGTATAGGTGGCCTGGGTGTTGTGGGGTGGCCCTGGATGCTGTTGTGGGTGACTGGATGTGCTGTTGTGGGTGGCCTGGGTGCTGCTGTGGGTGGCCTGGGTGCAGTTACAGGTGTACCAGGTGCTGTTGTGCGTGGCCTGGGTGTTGTAGGTGGCCTGGGTGTTGTAGGTGGCCTGGGAGCTGCTGTAGGTGGCCTGGGAGCTGCTGTAGGAGCCTTAGTGAGCGTACGTGGCCTGGTTATTACCGTAGGAGGCTCTGAGAATGACCTTGGGTTGGTGGGTGGCAGCCAGTACACCTCTCCGGTGGACACAGAGGCGAGCCAACCCCACCACACAACACTCTACCACCTCCAACGCTGTCAGTACTGTAAGTGAGGTTAATGTGAGGTGAGGTGAGGTTAGGTTAAGGTGAAGTGAGGTGGGGTTAAGGTGAAGTGATGTGAGGTGAGGTTAAGGTGAAGTGAGGTGAGGTGATGTGAAGGTGAGGTGAGGTGAAGTTAATCTATATCTATCTAGTAATCAATATGTAATCTCACAGTTAATTAAGCTTAAAAATTTCTCTTTCAGTTTAGTTCTTTGTTATCTCTTCTTTCTGTGAAATTATTGTTAGATGTGAATTAAATTTTGATTGTTTTAATGAGACTCGTTATAATTAAAGTGGTGATTGGTTCAAGCTTAACAATACACACACACACACACACACACACACACACACACACCACACACACACACACACAGGCTGATTGTATCCACTTTTTTGCACTTAGCAGCTAAGTCAATTCACATGTATAGAACCAAACACACAATGTGCTTGAATACCTCTCACGCACATGTGAATAACAAAGTGTGCGGCCAGACATACTGCTCCACACTCCTGTACTCACGCAGCTGTGAATAAGTTAACCTCTTAGTACAGAACTAAACAAACAATGTATTTGGTATACTCTGTAGTATTCCATGACATTATTATCCTGACTACAAGGGACTGTTATACACACCCTTTGTGACCTCTACTCTGTAATTCTTTTGCGGCACAGCTCAGAGGATGAGTATGAGGTGCACAATAAACTAGCTGCTTTATGTGGCAAAACTCAAAATTCAAATTCACACACACACACACACACACACATGAGGCTCCCAGCAGAAGGCCGGCCATCCCCCCGAAGTCGGCGACGAGGGAGGCGAAAGGGTAACTGAGTTCCTCCACCACCTCCTCGAACACCATGTCGAGGAAGAACACCTGTAAAAGGGTCAGGTCAGAGGTTGATAATACACCTTTGGGAGGGTCAGGTCATATGTCATTAATACACTTGAGGGAGGGTCAGGTCAAAGGTTATTAATACACCTGTGGGAGGGTCAGGTCAGAGGTCATTAATACACCTGTGGAATGGTCAGGTCAGGGGTCATTAATACACCTGTAGGAAGTCATCATATATATATATATATATATATATATATATATATATATATATATATATATATATATATATATATATATATATATATATATATATATATACTTCTTTCATGTAATTCACATCTTCAGGGGTGGAGTTACAGCATATACCTAGATCACGCGCACCTACAGTGATTTACTTGCATATATATATATATATATATATATATATATATATATATATATATATATATATATATATATATATATATATATATATATATATATATATATATATATATATATATATATATATATATATATCACTTAGCCTAACCTAAACTAACCTAATCTTACTAAACCTTCTGACATTGATGGTGAACCAAATTCTCAAAGTGAAGTGACATTGACGGCCTTACAAGACTTAAGTGCTTCAGGCGGTCCACAAAGTCCTCTCATTTTCCTTTACTATATAATTCTTACTTGCCCAGAGAGAAACGGGGGTAGAGAGACAGAGAGGATGGCAAAGAGAGACAGACAGACAGACAGAAAGCGAGAGAGAGAAAGAAAGACAGACAGATGTAGACAGAAACAGAAAATAGAGAGAAATAGAAAGAAAATGTGATTCTTAAATGATTTGGGCTCAAGTCCATGGGTTGAGAGAGAGAGAGAGAGCACACACCTTGATCCTGGCTTTCCTGTCCGTACGATCGTCAGTAGTGTCCCCTTGGTAGTGGTAGACAGTATGCCGACACGGGACGGGGCAGTGACATAGGTGAGGTTGCCATTCTCCCTCCAGCAGTAGCCGCGTCAGGAGGTCATCGGCACTCTCCAACACCTCCCTCCCCTGGCAGTAAGGTGAGTCAACCCTCATGAACGGAAGTCTGTGGGAGTCATGAGGTGATTAGGTTAGCTTAGGTCAGGTTAGGTTAGGGTAGGTGAGAATGAGTTAATTATAGGGGGGAAGGGGTGTTGTTTTACTTATCTCCTTATTGACAATTAACCCCTGATAAACACTTGAGGCATAGATAAGTCATCCTCAGGTCGAGCCCAGATTATCCCAGGTCATGTCCAGGTCATCTTTAGGTTCGTCCTCAAACCAAGTCATCTCTAGGTCGTCCTCAAGCCACGTCATCTCTAGGTTGTCCTCAAACCATGTCATCTCTAAGTCGTCCTCAAGCCACGTCATCCTCAATTCCTGGTCGTTCTTAACCCAGGTGGTCCTCAGGTCCAGGTCAGCTCAGGTGGTCTTCCAGGTCAGGTCAGGTCGTCTTCAGAGTCCAGGTTAGTTCGTCATTAGGTCAGCTCAAGGTGATTTTTCAGGTCAGTTCAGGTGGTTTTCAGGTCAATTCAGGTGGTCTTCAGGTCAGGTCAGGTCGTCTTCAAGTCAGGTTAGGTCGTCTTTAGGTCAGCTCAGGTGGTTTTCAGGTCAGTTCAGGTGGTTTTCAGGTCAACTCAGGTGGTCTTCAGGTCAGGTAAGGTCGTCCTCAGGTCAGGTGGATGACTCACCGGCAGTGGAGGGCGTCGCTGAAGGCCCTGGAGAAACAGTCGTTTTGGCAGTGACTCTGACGGTAGTGTGGGTCCTCCTCACAGTGTTTACTCCTAGTGTTCAGCGACTCAAACTGCAAGAGGTAGTAGTGGTAGTAGTGGTAGTAGTGGTGGTGGTAGTAGTGGTAGTAGTGGTAGTGGTGGTAGTAGTGGTAGTAGTGGTGGTGGTGGTGGTAGTACTGGTGGTGGTAGTAGTGGTAGTAGTGGTAGTGGTGGTAGTAGTGGTGGTGGTGGTGGTGGTGGTAGTAGTGTTAATGAGTGGTAGTAATTAATTGTAGTGGTGAGTGGTAGTAGTGGTAGTAATGGTTGGCCAGTGGTGGTGGTAGTGGTGATAATGGTTGTGGTGGTGGTAGTAGTGGTAGTAGTGGTAGTGGTAGTAGTGGTGGTGGTAGTAATTAATTGGTGTGTGGTTGTGGTGGTGGTGGTGGTGGTAGTAGTGGTAATGGTTACATTGGTGGTGGTGGTGGTGGTGGTAGTAGTAGTGGTGTTGGTTGTGAGTGAGGTGGTGGTAGTAATGAAAGGTGGTGGTTGTGGTGGTGGTGGTGGTAGTAGTGGTGTTGGTTGTGGTATTAATTAGTGGTGGTAGTAGTGGTGGTGGTAGTAGTAGTGAGTAGTAGTAGTGAATTGGTAATTGAGTGGTAGTAGTGGTAGTAATGGTTGTGGTGGTGGTGGTGGTGGTGGTAGTAGTAGTGGTGTTGGTTGTGGTGGTGGTGGTGGTAGTAGTAGTGGTGTTGGTTGTGGTAGTAGTGGTGGTGGTGGTAGTAGTGGTTGTGGTAGTAGTGGTAAGGTGGCAATAATTTAGTTGTGTTGATGATAGTAACAGCAGTGATTCTGATCAATTCCTTTTACTCCAGGTTGTTAAAATATCTTACTCAAGAGACTCAATACAGATAAACTACACATACAGACACAAAGACGCACAGACATACACAAAGACAGACACACACAGACACCTTACCTGCTTGAGAGACAGACTAATTTCCTTGTTCCAGGTGAAGCCGATGAAATAGCCGTGAGTCTTGATCAACAAGCTGGGGTCTTCCTCCTCCTCGTGCACCACCACCCACCACCCCTTAGGAGACCACGCCCCTGTCTCCTCGTCCTCCTCCTCCCCTTCCTCCTCCCACGGCTCGTAATCTGTAACAGTACCCCAGGAGAACTCTGTCAACGGCTCTGTAACACCCCCCAGGAATCTGTAAGTGTCTAGATCTCTGTAACTGACCAGGAAAATTCTATCAAGGGCTCTGTAGCTCTAGGTCAAAGTGGGGCTCTGTGCAGTTCCGAGAGTCTAAACATGAAGCTCTATCACTGTATTATATATAGACTCCCATCACTCAAGGTCTATGCTACAGGGGCTCTAAGTCTATGCCTCATCGAGTCATCACTCTAAAACAGGAAAAATATATCTAGAGCTCTATTACTCACTACTACAGGGCTCAATAAATGGGTGAAGACAAAAGTGTAATTTAGGTGAGGCAGATGAGATAGGCGGTTCACCTGAGATATAAATCACCTCGGAGACTCACCTAGTGGAAGTCAAAGTCATCTAGGTTAAGTGAGACACCTAGACAGTGTTGATTGCATCTAGGTGAGTCAGGAGAGGTTGGTGAAGTAAGGGGACTCACCTAGTTTGACGTAGAGGCCGTGGTAGGAGCCGGCTAAGGTGGTAGGGGCCCCTCGGAAGGTGAGACAGGGGCCGAATAAGGTGTAGATGAGAGTGAACGCCCCTGTCTCGTTACAGAGAACTCCACGGCCTTGGTAACACTGCAAAAGGAGTGAGAATACTTGTTGAGATGGTAACACTGTAAAGCATGAAATAAGTGTTGACGGTTCTACACGCTCTTGGTAACATTTCAGGGGTGTTAATTCCTGTACGTTCTCATAAGCTATCTGGTAACACTGCAGAAGGTGTGAATACCTCTTAAGATGGTAACACTTCAGAGAAATATATCTGTGCTTATTCTCTCGTTAGTTATCTGGCAATACTGTAAGGGGTGAACTATGAGTATACAGTATATTTCAGGGTTGCAACATTTATTTGTAAAAATCTACACTTCTACAGGAAACGAAATTTGTGTGTTAATGGTCCTTTAAACAACTTAGTAACATTATTATTATTATTATCATTATTATTATTATTATTATTCATTTTAATATTACTTCATTGATACATTTTTTATTTTTAATGAAAGGATTGTAAGGTTAGGTTAGGTTAGTCGATATTAAAATTAATATTAGTAAATAACAACAGACAGAGAGAGAGAGAGAGAGAGAGAGAGATACATTACTAGTATTTCAGACTACACGACCTTTAGCAAACTCGACTCTACACACACACACACACACACCAATAAACGGTGCCATAAAGAATATATACATACACCTGTTCATAGGAATTCGATGAGAGAGAGACAGGCAAGAGTCTCTCTCAGTCTCTAGTAACCAGAGACGGTATTGGGTGGTCACAGACGAGGAGTGGGAGGGAGAGAGAGATATCGAGCGAGATAATGAGACACATCGAGGAGGGTGAAGGAGGACCAGGAGAGCAGGTGACAGGGAGATACATGAGAGGGATATCGAGAGAGATGATGATGAGACATGAAGGAAGTGGAAGGGGTGTGGGGGTTATCGTGGGTTATCTTACGCCTCCATGGGTTTATATTTGGCCATCAGTGGTTATATCAGGTCATCTCAGGTCACCACAGGTTATCTCAGGTCACCACATATCGCCAGAGGTTACCCAAAGTCATCTCAGGTCAACACATATCATCACAGGTCATTTCAGGTCAACACATATCATCACAGGTCATTTCAGGTCACCACAAATCACCACAGGTCATTTCAGGTCACCACAGGTCGTCCATAGGTTATCCCAGATCACCATAGATAATCTCAGGTCATCTCAGGTCACCACAGGTCACCTCAAATTACCACAGGTCGTCCAGTTACCACAGCTCACTACAGGTCATCTCAGGTCACTTCACCTCATGGATCATGGCCGAGACGTTCCAGGCGGTGGCGTCCCAGAGGTCCTTGGTGTTGAGGAGGTTCTCGAGTTCCCTGCTGGCGTTCCTCAGCCCCGGGTACTCCTCCCCCACCACCTGCTGGTACGCCTCCCTCACCGCCAGGGGACTCCTGCCCATGGTCATCATGTTGTTCCTGCAGGAGAAGAAAGGATATAAGAACATAAGAATAAACCATAAGAACATACCATAAGAATTTAACAAAAGAACATACCATAAGAACATAAGAATACAACAGAAGAACATTTGTTATTCCCACAGGAGAAAGAAAATAAGGAAAGGGAGTTCTTTTTTTTTTTGGTTGAGAATGAGGTTGGTGGAACTCGTGTTGATCTTCCCGGCACAGAAAAAAGTTTTATAGAGGCCATTTTCACCTTTTGGGGTAGAGAATATAAGGGATTTTTAGAGCCCCTGTTTACTTTCCTTATGTAGAGCGATAGAGCGAGGTGTATAGAGCCCGTGCCCACCTTCTTAATGTTAGAGGAAAGATTGGGGGAAGAGGCAAGACTCAGCTGGTGGTTGGAACAAGACTTACCTGGTGGTAGGAACAAGACTTACCTGGTATAAGAACAAGACACACGTGGTATAAAAACAAAACTCACCTGGTGTAAGAACAAGACTCACCTGGTATAAGAACAAAACTCACCTGGTATAAGAATAAGACTCACCTGGTATAAGAACAAGACTCACCTGGTGTAAGAACAAAACTCACCTGGTATAAGAACAAGACTCACCTGGTGTAAGAACAAAACTCACCTGGTATAAGAATAAGACTCACCTGGTATAAGAACAAGACTCACCTGGTATAAGAACAAGACTCACCTGGTATAAGAACAAGACTCACCTGGCAATAGGAACAACACTGATGACTCACTTGGGGGTGTAGGAACAAATCTCACCTGGGTTATAGAAGATTACTCACCTGGGGTAGGGACAGATGGTGACAGCTGGGAACCTTAATGAAGTGCTGTGTATCACCTGTACATCCACGTTGACAGGGTAAGAGAGGAAGTAATTCATCTGATACCCCATGACAGCCACCAGCACCAGCAGGCTCACCACCAGCGTCGTCCCCCACATGATCCTCCTGTAGGGGAGAGAGGTCGTGGCGTTACCGGGGACTGTAGTTACCGGGGTACTGATGATGTAAGGAATAGGCGTAACTAGGGACTGATACCTGAGACTAATACCGGGAACTGGGGTGAGGGGAAACTTGGAAGTATAAGATGTCCCAGTAATTAGTGCTCTCTCTCTCTCTCTCTCCCCATTTATCACCAGTTATTCCTGATTCAACCCACATGCCCGTTTTCTTCCATCCAATTCTTCCCATTTTCTATCACATAATCACAAGAGGGAAAACTTTAACAGAATGCTGACGTTATAACCAAGGAAATAATTAATTCCCTTTTAGGGGCAACAAAAACTTCCCCAAAGGTAATTTATATTCTCAAAAGAAATTCTAAATCAAATTTTAACTATCCCGCATAAGAATGGGAATAAATTAGACCACATAAATTTTTCTCTACAATCTTAAGGTAATTTTCTCGCCATATGTAGCAAGGAATTATCATCTTTATCGTAACTGTATATAAGGTATTTGTTTTACCTTAGTTATTCACGTATTGACTTAAGGAAATTTTTTACCTTACAATTTTTTTTATAATAGGAGCTATACGTCTCTGTACGGTCGAGTGAACAAATTATTTTTTTTTTTAATTTATCAGCTAAAAAAAATCTATAGAAAAATGGTTCAGGTGAATATTATATGAAGATGGGTGAGTGTAGGGGAGGAGGAGGAGGAAGAGGAAGAGGAGGAGGAGGGAGGAGGAGGAGGAGGAGGTGTGGGAGGAGGAGGAGGAGGATGTGGGAGGAGGAGGAGGAGGAGGAGGAGGAGGAGGTGGGAGGAGGAGGAGGAGGAAGTGTGGGGCTGAGAGTGGCACTTCAGGAGGGAGGTACCGATAGGTGATGTTGGGAGAGAGAGAGGCTGCAAATCAGGTAGACAAAAAGATAAACAGATAGACACATTAAACAGAGAGACAGGTCAGAGGCTGATTGACAGGCAGACAGACAAAGAGAGACAACCTCACAACCCAACAGACAGACATATAGACAGATATAGACAGACAGATGCAGTAGGACCGACCTGAAGGGTGTGGTCTTGGAGGAGATGAGAGTGTTGACGCCCGCCACGCCTACACCCACCTCCGCCGCCCACACGCCCTTACCTCTGGCGCCACCTGCTGGGGGAGGGAGGAGACACACACATCATCCTGGATCATCCTATCTGTCTCCAACTCATTCTTCATGTATATCATCTTAGCTAACCTGTTCTTTAATCATTCTTCAGTCATCCTACCTCATTAAACCCCCTTTAAATCATCCCACATTACCCTGTATGACTCAGACTACCCACCTCCCCACCTATTCCTTCCCTACTCCATTCCTAACCTTTCCTCCTCCAACCCAACCCCTATTCGTCCCTCATCCCCTCCTCCAAGCATCCCATTCTCCCCCACCATCCCCTCTCCCCCCTCACCCTCCTTACCCCCACCCTACTCTCCCCCCCTCCTCCACTGCCACAGAGACAAACAGGGTAATCCACCACGCTGTTTCTCTGCTTGATGAAAGTTTAATGACCATTAGGGTGGCCTCTGACGACCCTCTACCAGATCAAACCTTCCCAGAGTAATTTGCTTTCGTCTGACATTCCTTTTGTAGTTGTGTGTACCGACGGGGCTCTTTTTTTTAGGTGAACCCTGTCCAAAACCCGTGTCCACCCACTCTTTCTGTCTGTATGTTTATCTCGGTCTGTTTGTCTGTTCCTCCCGCTCTCTATCTGTTTCTTCTATTCCTCTTCTTAATTCTCCCTGTTCCCTTATCCTAACATTATTCTTCTCCTTCTCTTCTTGTTACTACTTATCCCTCATCATCGCTGTCTTCTGCTCCTCCCTCTCTTCCTTTAATCTTACCCTCTGTTGCTCCTCTCTCTGTCTCTCTCTCCCTCCTTACCCTCATCCTTACCTCCTTCAATTCCTTCCTTTCTCCATCCCCACCTCCCTCTCCCCCTCCTTACCTCCCTCCATCCCCAACATAACTTAATCTAACCTAACCTCTTAGATAGAGATACGGAGTTTAACCATCAGATGAAATAAGCTGGGGGTAAACTATGAATTTTTTGGGGGGGCTAAACTCTTTCATTTTCTTTTCTTTCTCACAATGTTATGCCGGGGGAGGGGGGAGTGGGGGAGGGGCAGGGGGAGCATTAAAACTTCTCACAACAATGAAAGTTAAAATTTCATCCCTTTTTTTTATTTTCTTCGGGGAGGGGAATAGGGAGAGAAGGGGGAGGGGAGGGGGGTGTTGAAGCAGGACCAGGTCACAACCTCACTTCTCTGTACACCCATTGTTATTACCTCCACCCCCACCTTCCCATCTTACACCCCCTCACCATTTCCTCCACCCTCACCCCCTTCCCATCTTACACCCCCTCACCATTTCTCCATCCCCACCCCCCCTTCCCATCTTACACCCCTCACCATTTCCTTCACCCCCACCCCTTCCCATCTTACACCCCTCACCAGTTCCTCCATCCCCACCCCCCTTTCCCTTGGATCACCTGAAAATTGGACACCTTAGCTTTTTTTTCTTAACTAGTGATTAAACACCATATATAACTCTATCTTGGGGGGATAGGTTAGGTTAGGTTAGGGTGGCTAAAATTAAGCTGAAATAAGCTGGGGTGACTAATCTTCAGGTAATCCACAGCCCCTACACCTGACTCCCTCAACACTCACCTGTCACCTCTGTCTTCTCGTTGAGTAAGAAGCCCCTCGGCAAGGTGACCAGGGGCTTGACGGATATGTATTTCACTGAAGACATCCTGAGGACCTGCCTGTACGATTGGCTCCCTCCTTGAATGCTAGGGTGAAGGATTGAGGTGGTTCTGGCCGTAGGATCTCAGACGACTCCTCAAAGTGGATTTATCTGTAAGGATGTCCCCCTGAGCACCTGGAGGGACCCTTACTTTGGGCGCGGCTGTAGAATCTTCTCCCTGGGGACTGAAGAAGATCCTTGAGATGAACGTGACTGCTGGATTTCTCCTTACCAATTGGGAAAGATCCTTGACATCCATCCACGTGAAAGATCCTTAAGGCGGTGGGGACGGATCCTGGACTTGCACCAACAACACATCCAATAGGTTTTATTTGTGTCTCGTTCTCCGTTTGTTTTATTTGTCCATCAAACACAAACACAACAACAAAAATCCTTGAGTAAGATCCTTCTGTTTGTTTGGATGACCTGAGGATGCATTGGAGGACTTGTAGAACTGTTTACGCCCTTCCTGGTGAGTTATGGGAGACAATGGATGTTACTTAAGGCATATAATATTGACCCTAAAAACGACTATATCCCTAAAGAGACACTGAGGACGTTCTCTATGTTTAGAAAGTCCTCAGTTGACCAGACTCATACTCGAGGAGGAGCTGAACGTGTCTCAAGGGTAGGAATGCCCATTAAAGGCGAGGACACAATACACCACAGGCCACTACCACTACCACTACCACTACTACCACCACTACCACCACTACCACCACCACTACCACTACTACCACCACAGGCCACCACCACTACCACTACTACCACCACAGGCAGCAAAGCAACATTGATATCCTATAAAGATGAATGCTGAGGTTAACAGTATAAATCAGGTCACTATCACCACCAATATCCCTGGCAGATGGACACTATAAGTTCCCGGAGTTGGTTTATATGGTGAGTTAAACTATACCATACACCACAGGTCACTATCATCACTATCACTAAATCAGCACCAGCACCACCGGCAAAAATAACACTGGGGTCCTCGGTGTGTGTGTGTGGTATAAGGAGGAACTGACAGGAGACGGACGCCACCACCACCACCTCAGTCAATGACAAACTAACACTGGCTACCCAACCACCCATTACCGAACTCTTAGACCGATAAACAACTTCCTCTTACCTAAATCCCCCCCCTCCCCCCTCTTCCTCCTCCTCCACACTCTCCCCCTCCCTTCCTCCTCCGAACTCTTCCCCCTTCCCTCTCCCCTCCATCCTCATCCCTTCCACTGACTCCTCCAACCCATGTCGTTCTCAATGCCCCCACTGCATCCCCCCTCCCTCCTTCCCCTCCACTCTCCCCCTCCTCCATCCACTCTCCCCTGTCACTCCCCTCCCTCATCCATCCTCTGTCGTTCTCAATTCCCTCACTGTCCTTCCCTCCCTCCTTCCTTCCTTCCCTTCCCTCCCCTCTCCTTCCTCTTCCCCTCACTGAGTTACAAATTACTCTGACAGTCACATCAAACTATCCAGATGACATTAACTAACTAACTATCTCTCTCTCCTCTAACAACCTTCATAACTGTCACACCTTATATACATTTTCACCATCAGAGTCCAAATATATAAATCACGCTTAGTTACATTCCATATATTCCCGTTGGATTTTTTAGGAATAACTTTGGAATGGTTGTATGTTGTAAGGCACGAGTTGTTGAAGGTTATGTTCTGGGCGGTGATTGGTTGTGGTTGTGATGGTTTGAACGATGTTGTGTTTGATGTGTATGGTAGTTCTCTTTATGGATGTACTGTATATATATATTGTTGTTGTTGTTGTTGTTGTTGGTAGTAGTAGTAATAATAATAGTAGTAGTAGTAGTATTTTTTCATCACTGTCATTATTTATTTTCTATGCCTGAAGACCACTAAGGAAGGTTGTCACTGACCTTGGAGTGCCAAACTTACAGTGCCACCCTTGGACTACTACAGTACTCTCGTGCCACCCAGTGTACATTCATCTCCATCTAGCAGTACCTTAAGTGACAACCCCATCGATTCCTGACACACACACACACACACACACTGGTAAGAGGGACACTCGGGTCTCTTGTTATTTTCTATTGACTTTTGTTGTAGCTACTTTTGTTTATCATGGTAGATTTTATTAGTTAGTGTTATCCTCTGTTGGTTCTTGTTATGTGCTGGCTCTTGTTATCATCTGTTGGTTCTTGTTATCATTGTTGGCTCTTGTTATCATCTGTTGGTTCTTGTTATCATTGTTGGCTCTTGTTATCATCTGTAGGCTCTTGTTATCATCTCTTGTCTCTTGTTATCATCTGTTGTCTCTTGTTATCATCTCTTGGTTATTGTTTTCATCTGTTGTCTTTTGTTATCATCTGTTGGTTCTTGTTATCCTCTGTTGTCTCTTGTTATCATCTGTTGTCTCTTGTTATCATCTGTTGTCTCTTGTTATCATCTGTTGGTTCTTTTTATCCTCTGTCGGCTCTTGTTATCATCTGTTGGTTTTTGTTATCCTCCGTTGGCTCTTGTTATCGACTGCTCTCGTATTCATGTTATTCTTCCTTCTCTTATTCCCTCTTCGTTAATGACAATCTCCTCCTTTGTACCATTATTGATTCCCTCTACTCTTCTTTCTCTTTGTCTTGTGTGTCTCTCTCTATTCATTATTTGTCTTCCTTACTCATTATTCCCTCTTTCGTACACTGATTATTCTCTTCTTCTTATTCGTTCACTAACCTGGCCTCCCTCTACTTCCTTCATTCATTATCCTTCTTCCTCTTCATCCATCATCAACATCACCCTCTCCCCCACTTCCTTCCTCCTCTTCATTAGCTTCTATCCCTTCTTCATCTTCTCTTTACATTCTCTTTTTCACTATCAACAATAACAACGCTATTTCTTCTTCCCCTTCCTCCTATTTACGTCTGATGGATCACGAAAGGTAGACAAAAGACGCACACAGACTCTTGATAAAGGATGGGAATTGAAAGGAGAAATAAATAAGAAAGGAATAAGAAAGTAACAGGGATTAACCAAGACATCCAGGAGGAACTTTCTCAAACATTTTCTCTAAGTTCAAGGAAAAGTTTAAGAAAGGTGTAGAAAGTGGCAGGATTTGGGTGTAACTTTAAGTGGACAGTAACTAATACACACAACACACACACACACACACACACACACACTCACTCACTCACTCACTCACTCTCTCTCTCTCTCTCTTCCTCCTACACACACACACTAACCTCGTCAGCTTAGGAGCCAAAATACAAATGAATTGAGTCTCTATAGCAATTTACTTTAACAACAATGATAATTTTACTAATCAAGGTAACTTTTCCTCCTCCTCCTCCTTCTATCTTTCTCTTCCTCCGCCTTGTCTCCCTCTATTATTACATCCTTCCTCCCTTTGTTAATTTTCTCCCTCTTCCTCCCGTCCTTCATTCTTCCCATCTCTCTTTTATCCACCCTATTTCTCATCTCTATCTTTTGTCTCTCAGTTAATCTCCTCCCTTTGTTTCTCATTTCATCATCCTTAATCTCTCTTGTATCTCTTATATCTCTCTCTTTATTCGTCTCCTCCTACACCGCCCATCCGTAGAGACGAGTAAGGCAAGGTGAGTTCATTACCTGGCAGGTGTCAACAGTGAGGTGTCGGCTAAAATGATGATGAAAGAATAATGCTTGAATAACATGACTGGCCAGACCCACAGCACCTCCAGACCCTTAGTGTGGGGCTGTGAGTGTGAGTGTGAGTGTGTGTGTGTGTGTGTGTGTGTGTGTGTGTGTGTGTGTGTGGATGGTAAAGTTCGTTTTGTGTATAATCCTGAAATATTACACACACCCCCTGAAATATTACATAACCCCCTGAAATATTACACCACCCCCTGAAATATTACACCACCCCCTGAAATATTACACACACCCCCTGAAATATTACAACCCCCGGAAATATTACACCTCCCTCCAGTTTACGAGTCACTAATCAAGATCATTAAAAAAAACATAGAATTTCCTTATATATATATTCAAGGGGGAACTCAAGCTACTTAACACTTATCAACAGATTACACAGACCTCATAGAACACGCCCTCATGGCCTCTCAGACCTCTCACAAGACTATACTATGACCTCTCGGACCTCTCAGAAACAATACTATGGCCTCCAGGAAATCACATCCCCTTCCGAAGACAAAAAAATCTCATCTGTCCTCTTGAAGGTCCGCAGTGGCAGAGTTCCTCTTGGTGTTTGAGGGTTCTTGGCGTTCCTCCTTCACCTCCTCCTCTCCCCTCTTACTCCTCCTACTCTTCCTCTTACTACTACTACTAATAACAACAACAGCAATAATAAATCTCCCCGCCTCCTCTGCCTCTTACTCTTCCTCTGCCTATACTACTACTATTACGACGACGACGATTACTACTACTACTACTACTACTACTAATGATAATAATAATAATAGTAATAAACAATTATAAATTCCTCCTCCTTCTCTTCCTCGTCAATTCCCCTTCCTCCCCCCCCTCCCCCCCCGTGCGAGCCCTGGCCAGCATCACAACGTGACCCCGACAGCAACATCTGTGGGTTCTGAGGAAAATTTTCTTTCTTGTGAGGAAGCAACAGCACGAGAAGGTACCGAGGGCTTAAGATGCATCACTTAATGTTTCTCCGTGTGTGTGTGTGTGTGTGTGTGTGTGTGATGACAGCAAGATACATCATAAACCTGACAGCCACAACAACAACAGCATTTTCGCCGTTAATGACAGTCACGACAGACATATACGAAGAGAAACAGATGATAATTGAAAGTAAATAAAATATATAAAAGAAAGAAGAATAATAACACTTGATGAAACTATATAAAAAGAGAATATTTGAAGTGCCAAAAATTTCTTGTAAGAAAACGTAACAGCCGCCTGCAGCAAAGAACAGCATCGATAGTCTCCCCTCTACCCTTCCTCCCTATCCCTGTCCCATCCCTCTCCCACTATCACCTTCCCATCCCCACACCCCCTTCCCAAGCAACAGCAACGGCACAGGCAACGATGGCATGACAAGATCCAGAGTAGGAACACCATTACCAACACACACACACACACACACACACACACACACATACACACACACACACACACACGTGAGGCCCTAACTACCAACTTCTACTCCGTCCCATTTCTTATCATTACTCAAGAAGATAAAGTCCCACGGCGTTCAAACTTGATATACACACAGTAAAAGGAGTATCGTGCCGGGAGGGTTGGTATGTGTGCCTATATGACAAAGGTTTCCTCCCTATGGTAAGGCAACTGATATGTGAGGACTGCAGGGCTACCACCATATTCAAGGCCAACACGCATATTCCACTATCCCTCGTTCGTGGTGTCATATTGTTTCGCACACAATCCGTATGGTGCTTTTTTAATCTGTGTACACAATACCCACTTCAACCCCCCTACGAGCTGATAAGATATTTGAGGGTCAGAGAGGTCAAAGGTCAAGGTCACAGCTTCGAGAAATGGTAATACCGTCTTAGTCCAGATGTGGGTCGGTCGCAGCTGGTGTGTGTGTGTGTGTGTGTGTGTGTGTGTGTGTGTTGTGCAGCTGGGGAGTTTCATATTTGTGTGTTTTGACTGATATCATTCACTAGCATATCTTTGATTTTGTTCCTCTCTCTCTCTCTCTCAACCATCCTTCCCTCCTTTACCCTCTTTCTTTTGCTTTCTCTTTGTGAGTAACTTATACAACTAATTACTCTTATGGTCTGATCGCTAATCACTCTCCCCTCTCAGTCAATATACCGCGTACCTCTCCTCAACCCTTCAACCCCTTGTGTTCACTTTCTCCTACCAGTGTTCACTTTCTCCTACCAGTGTTCACTTTTTCCTACCAGTGTTCACTTTTTCCTACATGTGTTCACTGTCCTTTCTCTCACCCTTCCCTCCCAGCTGTCATACCCCCTCCCAGCTCCCAGCTACCATACCACCCCTCCCAGCTACCATACCACCCAGCTCTCCAGCTACCATACCACCCCTCCCAGCTACCCATACCCCCCTCCCAGCTACCACACCACCCCTCTTAGCTACCATACCACC